CATCATTCAAAAACCCTTTTTCAAGGTATAAAATCAATTAGATGTGACATGATATATAGTTACTTTTGTGTCAATTTTTTTTATATAGAATATACTGGGTGTGAGGCTGTATATATATTTGCTTCTTCTTTAGATGATGATATGTGAATCATTATATAATATACTTGTTCTTCTGATTTTATAATATATATATATATATATATATATATATATATATATATATATATATATATATATATATATATATATATATATATATATATATATATATATATATATATATATATATATATATATATATATATATATATATATATATATATATATATATATATATATATATATATATATATATATATATATATATATATATATATATATATATATATATATATATATATGTAGTGTGTGTTAATATCATTTTTTTATTATTTATTTATTTGCATATTCTAGTAAAAGATTAAAAAAATATTTTATTCTTTTGTTTTTAACATTTTCATAAAGTTTTTCGAAATTATAAAAATATAAAAATATATTGTTAATTATTAATTGATTTAAATATTTTTATTTAATATTGATTAATTAAAATATTACTTGGTTTAAATTTTTTTATTTAATATTGATTAATTAAATTATTAATTAATCTTATTAAATATTTATATTTAAATTAATTAATAATTCTTTGTCACCTGATTTTATTTCATGACTTGATTGCTTCCTTGCTTTGAGTTTATTTTGTTGATCATATCTGTTATTTTACGCGATGTTTTTCCATGATTGTTTGTAGATTTTATTCGCGATGTTTTGCCGTGATTGTTGTTGTATTTGTCTATGGATTTTATTCACGATGTTTTGCCGTGATTGTTGTTCTTTGTGTTTGTGGATTTACACGATGTTTTTCCGTGATTGTTTGTGGATTTTATTCACAATGTTTTACTGCGTATCTCTGTTTATTTACTACATGATGTTCTTCCATGTATGCCTTGTTGATGTCTTTACATGATGCTTTTCCATGCGTATCATGTGATGTCTTGTCTATTTGACTATACATGATATTCTTGCCGTGTATTGTGTCTGTGTACTCTTGCTTGCCATTTACATGATGTTTTTTCATGTATCTGTTGTTTTCTTTTGATCCTTGTTAATCTAATTCAAGGGGAGGGATTGTATGTTGACTTATTGTCATCGTGCATGTCCCTTGTATTTGTCTTTGTTGTTGTTTTGGTTCTTAGACCCTTAACAATCCGTGGTTCCACGAACTACGGACACTCTGACTTCTCAAATTCCTCTTGAGAATACGTAGGCACAAGACCCTGATCCTTGACGAGTAACCTTTTCTTTTTTTTCACATTTATTCCCTTTTACACCATTTTCCGTCGTAGTTCTGAACTACGATTGCTCTGACTTCCTATTAAGGATACGTAGGCATATGATTGCGAGATCCTAACGAGCTATCTTTTTCTTTTTCCACCTTTTATCTTTTCTTTGCTCATCTTTACCCTTTAGCAAACAATTTTAGCAAAAACACAAATATTTCAAGAGGTTCCTGTAGAGTGCTGCAGATATTTAGGGTGCTAGTATCTTCCATTAGTATAACCAACCCCCGTATCATTGATCTTTCTTTTGCTTAGCTTTAGGCCTTGCTTTTTTGCTTTGCATTTTTTACTTAGGGTTTTTGTTCGATCTTTTCTCCCTTCCCTTGGATAAAATAAAAGTTCGGTGGTATCTTATTTTTGTGAGCCAACTAGGATAAATTTGTAATTAACAGAGTATGAGATTATGTTGAGTAAATGACCAAAATTGTCTGCTTGTAAATATGGTTCTATCAATGGGTCGTGTGGTACATATTCATGTACACGACAACAAAATCTCTTTGGATCCTAACAAAAGATAATTAAGGAAAAAAAAACAAGGAAAAGTATTAGCGGAAAATTTTGTGATACATTCAAAATAGCAATTTACAAATTTTGCAATGTTGTTGATAGTTCCTCGATATGTATCATCCATGGTTAATAGATCCATTTTTTGGAATGCTTCTGAGTGTTTGTCCTGGATTTGTGAAAAAAAATCAGGAAGGGATGATGTACAAGTTGAGTAAAGCCTTGTATGGACTAAAACAAGACCTTAGAGCTTGGAATCTGAAAATTGATTCATTTTTCAAGCTTCCAGTATTCATAAAATGTGAGATAGAGTATGACGCTTATGTTCAACATACATCTAATAACAATATGATTCTAGTGTGTCTCTATGTTGATGATATATTGCTAACAGAGAGTTGTTCAGATGAGATGGCTAAGTTCAAAAAGGTGTTGATGAATGAGTTTGAGATGTTTGATCTAGAAAATATGGTGTATTTTCTAGGGATGAAGACTCTTTACTCATATAAGGGTATAATCTTGTATCAGCTGAAGTATGAACTTGAGCTTCTGAAGAGATTTGAGCTAATAAATTATAAGTCTGCAATCACACCTGTTGAAACAAATCACAAGCTGAATTATGATGTTAAGGGTGATGATGCAAATGGTATAACTTTTAAATAATTGGTGGGCATATTGAGACATCTCTGTAATACTAGACCTGACATTTGCTATGCAGTTGGAATGGTGAGTAGGTTTATGAACATACCAAAGTGGTCACATTACCAAACTGTTGTCAAAATACTGAGATATATTAAGGGGACTCTGAGGTATGGAGTTTTATTCCCTTTTGGTGCTGAATTTGGTTCGGAGCTGATATTCTATTCAGACTCTGATGGGTGTGGAGATAGAGTTAACAGAAGAAACACTTCTAGATATTTCTTCAAGTATTTAGGAGGTCTCATTTCTTAGTGCTCCAAGAAGCAACCAATGGTAGCATCGTTAACTTGTGAAGCTGAATACATTATAGGTGTTTTGTCTGCTTGTCAAGCTGTTTGGATTCTGAACTTGTTACATGATCTGAAGATCAAGATGAGCAAGCCTTGCCAAGAATCCAATGTTGCACTGAAGAAGCAAACACATTGACACGAAGTTCCATTTTTTGCACAATCAGGTTCATGATGGAGTGCTTGAAGTTGTTCATTGTAGCACTCAAAAGCAACTTGCAGATGTGTTGACCAAAACAATCAAGATTTAACACTTTATCCATTTGAGGGATGAAATTGATGTTGTTAATTTTAATTAGCTGAATATAAATTAAGGGATGATGTTAGTTGTAATTCAGATTCATTTCATTTGTATTTAAATTGGTTTGCATTTGAATTTCATTTCAGAAGTTCTGATAAAATATAAACTAAGTTTAGTTCAGTTTGTAACTGACTCTGAACTGTAATTGTTTTTCAATTCAGAAAGTTAGTTACAAATTTGTTTTCTCTCTCTTTCATCATCTTCTTCATCTTCAATCTTGTGCTACAACACATACCATGTCCTTTATATAGGCAATTAAAACCAATGATCAAATCTTTTAAAATATAAAACTACAAGTTACACTTCGACATAACAACTATATATTGTATTCAATTCACTCGAATACAACTGACTCCTACTACTTCGACCAATTACTTCAGCATAATCGAATACTAAGGGTATGTTTGATTTGGTTTTGTAAAACTGTTTCTTAATTTTTAAAATTTAAAAATTATAAAAATTATTTGGTAGTCTAGTATTACAAAACTATTTTTGAAAACTATTTGAGAGTTTTAAAAACTGAAAAATCAAAATAAGTTTTGGAGGTTTTTGGTTTTTAGTTTTGAAAATTAAAAAGAATAAAAAAAATTGTACATTTTTTATTAATGACAAATTTGTAATATTGTTTTAACTTTAAAATAATTTTCAAAAATTAAATTATCAAACATGTTTTCTTTTATTTTTTTTTCAAACTCTTTTTTAAAATTGATTTATAAAATAATTTTTAAAAACTAAAAACTAAAACTTATTCAAACAGACAGTAACTTTCTACAAAACTATAAATTCCAACTAACATAATTATATTCAAACTAAAATTTCACTATAACAACGGACATAATGTAGGTCAATTTAAATATATATAATTTTAATATAAAATCTCACAAAAGTCAGATAAATATTTTGCAAATACAATTATTTTTACCATAAAAATCATAATCAACCATATAATTATTGGGATATTTTATAAATACATTGATTAAATGCATATATATTCGATTATTTTTCGACAATTTTAAAGGAGATCAGATTCCCTAAATAAATTGGAGTTGACTAAGAGTGTGCAAGTTAGGCAAAGGATCATCCCATCATCCATTCCTTCAATAAAATATTTTTTGCCATTTAATATTAACATTTCTTAAATTTAACTCAACCCTCATTAAAGAAAAGCAGTTGGATCTTTCTTATCACAAGAGATGGAGGTTCATAATTTTTCCATAGCCTCCATTATTATTATTATCAGAAATATTAATACTATTGCTACCTAAGGAAGGTGAGCTCCATAATTTATTAATAATGAACAATGTATTATAGCCCACTCTAATAATTTAGTAAATGAAGAAAAAAATGAATATTAAATTAGGTTTAGGCGACAATGTAGGCCCAATGTTAACCACGTGGCAGACAGCATCACCTATCCCTTTCTTTCCTTGTAGGTCCCAACCCTAAACTCTTATATATTGCCCCACCTTATATATCACATGGGACCATCATCCTCACCCTTTTTTCTCGTTCATTTTCTATCTTGTTGTACTTAATAATTCTACTACTTAGTTCTAATTAATCAAATAAAAACATTATAATAATAGTAATAATTATTTAATATCTCAAATTTCAAATATTTCATATACTACCCCGAGATGGTCAACCTAGCCTCTGCATCTATCTGTATGCTGTCTCTATCAATAATCCAGTTGGGTCAACTTATTGAACCTTCGGACCCACCTTCTCTAGGTTCCTTTCCCTTTATATACAAAAAAACCAAAACCAAACACCAACTTAGTAACCATTTCATAAACAACACCATACTTCTATAACACATTAAATCATCAATCACCAATGGAAGAACCCACATTTCTGTTCCCACCACCCGACTCAGACCTCGACCTCAGTTTCACTAGCACCACCACTGACCGCACCTTAACCTCCTCCAGCGCTCGCACTAGCTTAGCCCGCACAAGCAGTCTCGCTCTCAGCTTTAACGATCGTCTCTCAACCGCCTCAGTCGCTGCCGGAGATACCGTTTCCTCTGCAATCATACGCCGGCCTCACCGTAGCTCTGACCCTAACTGGACTGCAATCAAAGCCGCAACAAATCTCTCCTCCGACGGCCGTCTCCACCTCCGTCATTTAAAGCTCCTCCGTCACCTTGGCTCCGGCGATCTCGGCCGTGTTTTCCTCTGCCGTCTCCGTGACTACGATGGTGCAAATTTCGCACTAAAAGTTGTTGATAAAGACCTTCTCACCCTTAAGAAATCCACTCACGCAGAAACAGAAGCAGAGATCCTTCACGCGCTGGATCATCCGTTTCTCCCCACGCTCTACGCGCGTATCGACGTTTCTCACTACAGTTGCCTCCTAATCGACTACTGCCCCGGCGGAGACCTCCACTCTCTCCTCCGCAAACAACCGGGAAACCACCTCACACTCTCAGCAGCGCGCTTCTTCGCAGCCGAGATCCTTGTTGCACTCGAATATCTCCACGCGCTTGGCGTCGTGTATCGCGACTTAAAACCAGAGAATGTGCTTCTACGTGAGGACGGACACGTCATGCTTTCAGATTTTGATCTCTGCTTCAAAGCTGACGTGGCACCTACATTTGAATTTTCAACCAATCATAAACCTCACGTGGATCCCACTCACGGTTGTTTCAGTTATAACAGATCAAAATCACGCGAGAGTGTAACCGCTGAGTTTGTTGCGGAACCAACAACGGCGTTTTCACGGTCGTGCGTTGGAACTCACGAGTATTTAGCACCGGAGCTTGTTTCTGGTAACGGTCACGGAAACGGCGTTGACTGGTGGGCGTTTGGTGTTTTTATTTACGAGCTATTATACGGAACGACGCCGTTTAAGGGGTGTAGCAAAGAGAACACGCTGCGCAATATAGCATCTAACAAAGACGTGAAGTTCCATGTGGCGGAGAATGAAGAGGTGGGAATGGTGGAAGCAAGAGACTTGATAGAGAAGTTGTTAGTGAAGGATCCGAGAAGAAGGCTAGGGTGCGCCAGGGGTGCAACGGATATTAAACGGCACCCTTTTTTTGATGGGATTAAGTGGCCTTTGATTAGGACTTATAAGGCACCTGAAGTTAAGGGATTATTGAGGAGAAAAAAATCAGAATCGAGTTTGAGTCATGTGAGTACTAAGAGGAAGAGAGGGTGGTGGAAGAGACTTGGATGTGTGTTGAGAAATCAAGGAGCTAGATTTGATTTACTTTCGAACTATGGTAATAATAATCATTATTATTGTTATGTTAATAATAGTAAGGTTAGGTAAATGCGATGTATTGTTTACATTTTGAAGTTTGAAGGGTTATTCAACATATAGGATAGTTAATAGTGTTAGAGTTTTCAGTTTTTGGAGTGGGTAGTTTTTCACGTACAATACAGATTCATAGTTTGTATATGAATGATGAATCAATATATTTATATAAACTAGCGATTCATGTTTGCCTTAGTTTCTCTCTCTATATATATATCTCTCCGACTATTTTTGAAGGTTGAACTTTCTTGGCTATTGTGTGTAAATGATTTTATTCTTGCTTAAGGTTATGAACTTTCTTGCTGTAAGAAAACAAAATTTCGAGTATGCTCAAAAATAATAAAAGCTCCTTTATTTCCCCTCTCTAATGCTAATGTAATGACAATTAAGTGATCTATTGTGGATTGATGTTAGGAAATCCCTCACATTGTCAATAACAATGAATGCTATATTTTTAGAGATTTTTAGAGTGTGTTTGGATGGAATATTTCATAATTTTAAGTAATTTAAATTATTTAATTAAAATTTATTTATTTTTAAATTTTTTTTGGGATTGAGTATTAAAATGATTCATTGTTAAATTTTTAGGGTTATTTTTATAAATTTTATAATTTTTGAGCAAAATTTAAAATATAAAAAATAACGACCAATTTGCAATTTTTGAAAATTTGAAAGGACTAATTTGTAAAATTTAAAAATTGTAAAAACTTATTTGCAATTTTAAAAAAATTTAGGGGTGAATTAGAGATTTTTTCTATAAAAAAAACCTATTTTTTCAACTTAAATACGAAAATAACAATGTTTTCAAGTTATTTATCAAAATACGTCATTTGATTTGTAGTTTTTTCATAAATTAACACTCATGCGACAATTGAATTAGAGTATACATGTATGCGTAGGCAAAGAAAATGACATATAGGTATTGTTGTGAAGTGCATGCACCATTTGAAATGGGGCATCCTCCTTATACTACTTTTCTTTTAGCAAATATAATTAAAAATAGAAAACAAATAAAACTATTATTTATATACATTAATGGTTACAACAATTGATTAAAAAATCAATGTTTGGCCCAATCAAAACGTCCCTCAGTTTCACATCCTAGCGCATTAGTCTGCCTCTGAGGTCTATCACGATTTTGTTGAGGTGTTCGTGATCTTTGCGTATTGGCACGCGAAAAAGGTATTTAATGCGAGGGTCCCAGCGTATTTGACATATTTTCATCATTTGTCTCCAATAGCCAGGGGGTTGCTGCCAACGACGCTGCCGTAATTTAGTTTCGTGCCCATGTTTTCAAATTCGGGTCGTAGTAGTTGGGTTAGGTGAGGACGGTATGGTTGGTCAAATTGGTACATTGAATCGTTTTGGAAATGATGCAATGACTGTTGTGGGGTAAGAAAGTCAAATAGTGGTTGGGTATTTTGGTGGTGGGATGTTTGTGTGTTCATTTGTGGGAGGCTATGGTGGGCTAGGGTGGAGTCAAATGAATCATTTGGGTTATAGGCATATGTGGTGTCAGTGTGTGGATGTTGGCGGTAAGGGTCAGACTCTTGTTGTTGTGTTTGGGTGGGTGGCATGAATGAGTTGCGAGTTTGGATGTTTGATGGTTCAATGTACATGACGATGGTGCAAGGTGGGTAGTTGGGATTGGGTGGGTAGATATTGTTGTTGGGTGTGTCGTGGGGTTGGTTGTCGGCTCAGACACTAATTGTTGTGTTGTAACAGACCTAAACCAAATCGTATAGACTTGGTCTAGTCTCTTCCACGACAAGCTCGTTTAAGACATGGCGACGTTGATTATTCCAATATTGACATATCTCTTTAGCAAAGTCTCTCCAATCATCGTAACCCCATTGTGCATTTATTCTCTATTGATGTCTGTCTCTCAAACACGTGGGAGAGACTGAAATATCTTGTTGCATGCCGAACTGCAGTTTCACTCAATAAGTTTGGTGCATCTCCACTGTAGTGAACCGAATGGTTGGTGTTTTTGTTGTCCAGACTACAAGATTATCGGGGTTAGGCTGATGGGCGAGACCCAAATACGACCTCCAGACAAACTGCACAATAAAAATATATAATGAGAAGAATTGCAATATGTTAATTTTATAGGCAAATTTATAGTAGTTTAGAATAAATTACATCGTTCGGTCCAACGTGGTCTAAAAGATTGGGTACACAATTATTGCATTTCTGGGACATTGGTTGTAATTCATTCCCACAACTGACCACCTATAACAAAAAGTGAGAAAAATAATTAGTTACAAATAAAATTTTTATTAAAGTATATAAGATTGAAAATTTAAAATAAACTTACTTGTTTGCGGAGAGGAATGTGTATGGATTCAGGTTGACCAGAGCGAGTGTCAGCATTCTTAACTAACCTCATGCTTATAGTAGAAAGGTGCAAGCATAAAATGTACAAGTACCTTTTTATTTTGTTGCATTTTTACACAAGGAGCTACATAGATGAGCCAAAACAACTGAACTCCAACTATAAGTGCCTACTTTATTAATGTTGCGTAACAACGAAAAATACATAATATTTACCGTATTTCCAGTACTTTCAGGAAATAAAAAATGTCCAAATAAAATCATAATATAACACAGAGTTTTAATTATCTTTTCATACTTTGTGGATTCTTCGTCTAATGTTAATCTGGAATAATGTTCTCTAAGGTATTTTAAATTAATACCTTGACCCCTAGGTCGACCTGCGCCTTGTGTCAGATTTGTCTCTTCACAAAGAGGCGCACCCAACACATCTTCACATATTTTGTTATCCAGGTTAACTTTGTCGTTAACAGCCTTACATCGATGCGTATGCACATCAACATTTTTTCAATTGTCTTCTCTCTAGTTGAAGGGGAGACTGCTGGAGGTTGGAGTTTTTTTCTAAAAAATCTTTGATTACACATGGCTCATCAACCTAACTTATGTTTGATTTCAAACAAACATCCATCAATTGAGAGTGCATATAATAATCTTGATAACGGCTGGCAGGATCCTCCTTCAACGCATGTCTATTGCATTAGACACATCACTCAAAATTTCATGCGGGAGATCAAAGACAAGACGCTGCAGAAGAAGGTTGTGAGTGCATGGTATGCATTAACATAACCTTCCTTCAAACACTACCGTGATAAAATTAGATTGACAAATGCAGATGCATTAAGATGGATCGACAATATTCAATTGGAAAAGTGGACCAGGGTATACGACAATGGCCAACGATGAGGCCACGTGACAACAAATCTCGTGGAATCAATGAACTCTGTATTTAAAGGCATCTAAAACCTACCGATAAACACTTTGGTAAGGGCAACATATTTTAGGCTCGGGGCACTTTTTGATATCAAATGTTCAAAATGGAGTCCTGTCTTACAATCTGGGCAGTTGTTCAGTAATAGTTCAATGAAATTCATTAAGTAGGAAGCTTCCAAATCTAGCACATATGTGGTCACAGTATTTGATCGCAATAAAAGTTGGTTCGGTGTTGATGAGTCAATGGATCACAATGAAGGGAGGCTGATGGGATTATATCGAGTGGAACTAGATAGAAGTTGGTGCGACTGCGGAAAATTTCAAGCCTTTCGTATGCCTTACTCACATGTCATAGCAACATGTTAAAAGGCTTGCCAGGACTCTTCCAACTTATTGTTCGTTGTCTACCAAGTCATTAGTCTATGCAATGTCTACTGCACTAGCTTTTCGGTGGTAGCAAAATAGGATTATTGGCCATCATATGAAGGGGAAGTTGTCTGGCACAATGAAATTATGCGAAGAAAGAAAAAGGGTCGCTCTAATAGTACGCGTATTCGAATGGGGATGGATACAAAAAAATAAAATGGTAAGATTATTTAGTTCATGTCGTCAGCCCGGGCACAATCATACAAAATATCCCAATGTTAGACCATGCATAACATCATAATTTTAAATGTAACATTTTCTCTTTATATCAAAAACAACTTTTATTCCATTAATATCATAACATTAAATAACAATAATTTAAAAACAACAAGTAACAATAATTTAAACAATTAAACAACAAAACAAACAAATACAATGACTAAACAATATAACTATGCGATTACAACCATCAGGACAATTTATTGAGAACTATACATCAATGTCTAAACATCTTTGTCAGTTGTAACATTATCTTATAAACAAATTTCTCCATTTTGGTTGAACGTGGTAACAAGCCTTTCACTTCTTCTGATCTTTTCACCCTTTGGAATGTCTCAATCTAACCAGCGGTTCAAGCTTCCGTTAAGATGTTTGAATGTTAGTGTATTCCAAAGGTGGATCTTCATCGAAGGTTTGGCTGGCGGGAAAATTAAATCGGCATTTCTCTTGTGGATGTATGAAACCTTATAGAGATATGAGGAGGAAGAAGAGGAAGTCATTTTGAAAGAAAAATGGAAGGAGACTATTAGAAATGGAATGAGAAAAATACGAGAAATGAAGAGAAGGTGGTGCAATATTTAAAAGAAAAAGCATAATGTAGTAGCCATATGAAATGACGCATACACACATGGTTTAAAAAATATAAAAAATAAATAAATGAGGATGCGCCATATGAAATGGCGCATGTATTATGTGTCAAAGGGGAGTCGCCATTTCATATGGCTTGATGTACATGTATAAGCCATTTGATATGGTGCATGTGTACAAAGATAGGAAGACATTCCAAATCAAATGACATATCCTCTTTGTCACATTCTAAAACTATGTTATTTTGGTAAATAACTTGAAAACAATGTTATGTTTGTATTTAAATTGAAAAAATAGGTTATTTAAAAAAAAATCTGAATTTGAAATTTTTATAAAAATATGAAGACCATCCTGCAAAATTTGAAAAATTAATAATAAACAATTTAATAATTGCATGATATAGAGTGAAAGAGTAATTTCAACTTTCTTACTTTTTGATGTCATTTGAAATTTCTTAAATTTAACTTGAATAAAATACGTCATAAATTTACATCATTTTAACAATTCTCTGTATTTTT